GGAACTGAAGAGCACTGTACTAGGTGACACGAGCAAGGCACAGGAAGGCAGGCGCTGTGGGATTCTCGTTTACGCAGGATGGGACATCACTCAAAGAAGCACCAAGAAGAAGGATGGTTGCCAGGTCTGGGCAGGACGGTCAAGAGTAACATTTTCCTTTCCTTTGAGATCCACTGAAAAACACAATGACTACAGTGACTAATGATGGGCATTTCCAAATGAACTTCACATGCTCTTGCCACACAAGTAATTATTTGAGCTGATGGACATATTGATCAGTTCATTCGGCCTAGCATCCCTTCATACCTCATGAATACATACAACTAGAATTTGTCATTTTACAACTAATTATGAAACTTCAGAAAGGAGAATGAGCTCCAAACTCGGGGACACACGAGCACGGAAAAACCATGTAGGGATGATGGGATTATTTTTTTAACCGGGACATTGGAGGTGTACAGGAAGTCAGAAGACACAAGGCCGGAAAGATGAATGAGACACTGCGAGGGGAGTGGCTTCAGAGAGAGGAACAGGAAATTGATAGAACTTCCTAGTGTAACTCTTACGGCTGCATGTTGTTTAATTTTTTACATTTCTGCGTGGAGAAGCAGGGCCATGTTGTGGAAAGAACACTCTTTGGGGAGAATTAGAGATGAAGGGGCTGGAAACCAAGCAGTGGTTGAGGAGATACAATAGAGTGGGGGTGGGACTAACAGGGACTGACGTGCAGAGGCCCCCCAGGAGGGCTGCTCAGCTCCTGTGGCCCAGAGAACGGCTCTGTCTCTTCCACCCCTTCCACTTCTCAGAACGCAGAGCGGGAGAGGGAAGCATCCGTGGGATCCACCTCAGCCTGGCTTTGCTTTACTTTTGTGCAAAGGATGGCTCTGGAGACCAGAAGCCACTGCTTATCAATAAGTGCTGGTAAAGAAGCAGTCCACCAATGCACCATCGCCTTCTCCGAGGTTCAGTCGCACGTCTGCAGCTCACGACACAGACCAGGAACAGTGAAGTCCGGGTGTGTCCCACACATTTCCTCCGAGAAGCGCACCTCTGCGTCCTTTGTATTTGAAAGGTCTACAGATGAATTAACAAAAGGCACCTGCAGTCAACGGGGGCCACACGTTCCTGCGTGAGTGAGCAGGCCGATCTCCACTTTCAGACCCAAAGTCAAGGTTCATGCCCACCTCCAAAGGTTCCTGTCTCTCCTAGTCTTTGTGTTCCAGTGGGGTCTTCACGCAGGAAAACAAGCAAAATAACACACGTGAAGGTCAGTGTGTCATCTAAGGGAAAGCAAGTTGATCTTCAAAGGAATTCGGCTTCTAACATCTGGTCAGACAGGACCCAGTGCCCATGTGCGCCCATGCGCCTGCCCTGTCTGTCTACTTAACTGTCTGTCCACCCCATCCGCCCTTCTCTCCGCCTACCAGTCTACCCATGAGCGCCTCTCCGGGCAGGGGAGATAAGCCGGAGAACACAGCTGTCTTTCACTATAACGAAAGCTCTGGAAAGGGACCTGTATAGCTGAGAGTTCCTACAAAACATCGTCCAGCCAGCCATCAGCTCCAGGTCCTTTGAAGAAAAGAAGGTGTGATCTGTAGGGAACCACAGCATCTAAGCTCATGAGAATCCAGAGAAGCAGAAGTATCAAGCAGGCACTGAGGGGTTTGGAAAACGGGTACCTGTTCCTTTTGGACATTCCGGTGCCCAGGGTGATGCCGAGGTCGGGCATTTGGAGGCAGATAAAAAAGCTGGTTGATGATGGTCAGTGAGAGCAGGGGGCCGACTGGATGTGAGGGCCTCCGGGGACAGTGAGGAGAAGGTGGAGGACAATATGTCAGATGGGAGGAACCGGAGAGGGAAAGCTCTCCGGTTGGGTTGTTGGCTTGTTCCTTTCTTCAGCCTGGAGGAGAGCCGCGCTGGAGTTACCAGCTGTTCTTCAGAGCTCCTTTCTAAAAGTGCTGGGGAGGGGACTCTGTGCTCCAGCCTGGGGGTACCTCAGCCAAACAACCATGGGGACCAGCGGCCCAAGTGGTGTACTTGTCTTCAAATAAAATGATGCTTTGGGGCATGAGAGCCTTATCTTTTGGCTCTTTAAAGTGTGTAAACATTTAGACTGGGTCAGCATGAAGGTAATTTTCATTTTGTTGAGCATCACAATAAAACATTATTGTCAGTTGATTATTGGGAGCTGGCTGCATTGTCTCAGACAGCTCAGGTTGGTTTCCCAGGAGCAGAGTCTGTTTATTGAGGTGTGCCCTGGGGACCCACACTGGAGGGGCCGAGAGACAGACTCACTCAGGGCTTGGAGGGAGGAGGTGAACTGGGCTGCAACTCTGTCAGGCGACAGAGGCCTCAGGTGACCTGGTCAAGGGCTCTGGAGCTGGGCTGACCCTTCCAAGTTTCCTGAGCCAATGGCAGGTGACCTCCCACTGACCTGCATGCCCACCAACCAGTGGATCCCTTCAAGGAGCACAGTACAGCGAGGAAGCTTCTCTCTGCCCACAAAAGTCCCCCAGAGCGGCCAACAGTGAGGCCACTGCCCTGCTGCCCTCCCAGCACCTGCAGAGGAAGCCTGTCACTCTCATACATCACAGCAGCCACCTCGGCCACTCTGCGGGATTCCCGAATGCCAGCGAGATCCCTGGCTCAGCCCAGTCATGTAACTTTATAGGCGTCGAGTAACGCCACAGTAACATGGCCCACAAAGCTGGATAAATGTAGGAAATGCATAATCTAATCACTATTTTGCCATTTTATGACCAAAAAAATGTTCTGCATTCCAGTTTGGGATGCCAAAGCACAAATTCTGTCACCTTGGCCAGTAGCAACTCTCTCTGTCTCTCTGTGTCTCTTTCTCTCTCTCTCTCTCTCTCTCTCTCTCTCTCTCTCTCTCTCTCTCTCTGTCTCTGTTTCCTCTCTCTGTCTGTCTGTATTTCTGTGTTTATGTCTCTCGGTCTGTCTGTTTCTGTGTCTCTGTCTCTCTGTCTTTGTCTCTCTGTGTGTCTCTGTCTCTCTCTGTTTCCTCTTTCTGTCTCTCTATTTCTGTGTCTCTGTCTCTCTATCTCTCTCTGTCTCTGTCTCTCTGTATTTCTGTGTCTCTCTCTCTCTGTTTCTGTCTCTCTCTATCTCTGTCTCTCTGTTTCCTCTGTCTCTCTGTATTTCTGTGTCTCTGTCTCTCTATCTCTGTCTGTCTCTGTCTCTCTGTGTCTGTCTATCTCTGTCTCTCTTTCCCTCTGTCTCTATCTTTCTGTCTCTCTGTATTTCTGTCTGTGACTCTCTGTGTCTCTGTGTCTCTGTCTCTGTCTCTCTGCATCTCTGTCTCTCTCTCTGTCTCTCTCTCTCTGTCTGTATCTCTCTCTCTCTCTTTCTTGCCTCTCTCTCTCATAACTCTGTCCAGGATGCCAGGAAAGCCATAGTTATGACCTCATGTGCTCATCTCTCTGCTGGACACAGCCTTGGTCCCAGTCCTGCACCATGGCAGTGGCTTTAAGGCTCCAGAGAGATGGGCTGTTCCTGTTAGGTGTTTATAAAGCCAGTACTGTGTTTCCTAAATGACACGTCCCTAAACATGTCAGCAATGTTCAAAGCCCTCCTCCCCCAAGCCTGCTCTGGAGGTGACACAAAGACACTGAAGCAGGAGAAGTCGAATTCCTTTCCCAGCCTGTTTGATTTGGGTCAGGCCCAGAGCTGAGCACGCTGGAATGTGCGATCTGACAGCGTGCCCGCTGTGACTGCCCCTGTCCACATGGGACGCAGACCCCACCCGGGGGAGAGACAGTGATCACCGAGCAGCAGCGTCTGCCTCCCCCGGAATCTGAGAATTCCATCAGCACTCCCTGTATCAGGCAGCTGCTCTGGGATTCATACCAACAAAGACAACAGTGCTTTCTGCCAGAGGGCTCAGCAGGGAATATGTTTTGTAAACTGAAAGATAAACCCTGACTTTATTTGTAGCATGAGACGTGATTTTTATAAAACACCCACTGATGGCTCTGATGCCATCCCTCCTACACGGTTAAGGCTGCTTGGTTTTCCTGGCTTGCTACTGTCACTGGTCTTTTCTACAACTGTCGTGGGTGCCCAAGGGGAAAAAGCCCTTCCCGCCATGCACACATAGTTTGTATTTTGACTAGAAGCTCAGCCGTTGTTCCGAAAGCCCTCTGGCTCCGGTAACCCTGTCTCTTCACCTCCCTCACTGGAAAGCATGGCTCAGAAACCCTAATTCACTGCATCCCGCGCTGATCCTGGTCTAGATTTTCTGGCTCCTTCATGGCCAGTTACGTGACCTGTGTTTCAGGAAACTGATAAAGGGCTTCGCTTTTGGCCTCTCGGCTTCATTTTGGTGCAGAGATTTCCTGGGGATCCTACAGCCTCCCCTTTCCTGGACGTGGAGCCTCGCAGGGCTGTGGCTCTCGGGGAGCACTGCTCTCACACTGCTGGGCAGGCTCTGTCATCCACCAGACAGTGCAAATGAAACTAGATAGAGGACAGTTGCGTTTGAATTTCAGATGGGCGACTAATTTTATGTTTTAATAGGTCCATGTACTAACTGAGTACAGACAAAAAAAACCTATTCACTGATCGTCTGGAACTCAAGTTGATGTGGGAATCCTGTTGTTTGTCAGCCCTCCTCGTGGCTCTGTTCTGTATGATGCTGCCTCGTCGGCTCCACCCTTAGGTAGCCTCAGAACTTGCCAAGGAAGAGGGGGACGGAGGTCCCTGGGGTGGGGGGGCAGGCACAGCCTCTGCGGGTCCCTTTCTGTTTGGGGGGACAGGAGGGTATACATGTCATATGACACCAAACCCTGAAACTTTCAACACTTTCTCTCTCCTCTGTTTCTTTCTTTCTAGACTGGTAAAATTTCAGGTTCCTACAACAAGGAGGGGAAAAGGCATATTATAGAGCCCAGCTAGACTCCTGCCCCCAAATACCTGTGCACACCTCGTAGGAGGCCTGGGCGCTGAAGAACACACACTATTACTCATGAATGTGTCCCGGGGCGTGTAGAATCCTCCTGGAAATACTGTAGGCAGCCACCTGGCCTTCAGCTTATTGTTGATGCCTCGTACTGGCTCAAACTCCAGCATAGAAAGCTTCCTACCTTGTGAGTGTGCTCCTAGAGCCCAGGCATTTGTGTATAGATATCTTGGAAAATAAGTTTTTAACCAAGACTTAGAAATAAGGTGGCCCAGAAATACTCTAAAGTTTCCGCAAGCTAAAAACTGAAATATTAATATGGTTTATATTATTTTATTGCATTGAAATAACCTCCACTCTAATTTGGCCAGCAATAGTCAAGATAGGCAAACGGCTCTCAGGAACCTCCTGGCAGCCAGAGCGAGCATGGTCCAGGGCTTATCTCTGTGTGTCTTCTCCAGTGCCATATCCGAGCGAGCAGACACAGCAGAAAGACAGCTATGGACGGCGCCAGCTTCTCTGTCGGCCCTGCAGGACGAAAACCAACTCAGAGCTACTGTAGTTTTCAGAGCATGGGATCCCTTCTGCACCGTGCCATTAGATGTTTACAGATCGTTTTGAGGAGTTTTATTTCCCCCGGGGATGGCTTGCATGACATTCTGCAGCTCAGGAAAGGCCTCACCCACAAACTCAGCAGGCAGCAGAGCAGGGTCATTGCCAGCAGCGCCCTGCAGCACCCACCTCGCCCTTCAGGTCCGATTCCCCGACCAGTGCTGCCCCATCGATGTGCAAGCACTGCCTGCTCTTCGAGCTGATATGCGTGGTTTCCTTTGCTTTTTCTTTCTTGGAAATGTATATTAGTGAGCCCAAGCAGTTACCTGGCATCTTGTTTTTCACAAAGCTGTGCAGCGTAGGTCTTCGTATCTCAACTCATACAGTGTTCAATTGCTTTTCCCCATAATGAAACTTTCAACTCAGTATTTTATAATCCACTGATCTGACAGATAGAGCAGCTGAGCCTTCATCACTTAACACAGATAACAGCAACTGAATCATTTCAGTCACAGCTGCACAAGCCACACAGCACCCCCAGCCACACAGTGCACACGGCACACACGGTATACACAGCACCCCCAGCCACACAATGCACACGGCACACACGGTATACACAGCACCCCCAGCCACACAGTGCACACGACACACACAGTATACACAGCACCCCCAGCCACACAGTGCACACGGCACACACGGTATACACAGCACCCCCAGCCACACAGTGCACACGGCACACACGGTATACACAGCACCCCCCAGCCACACAGCATGCACACGGCACACACGGTATACACAGCACCCCCAGCCACACAGTGCACACGGCACACACGGTATACACAGCACCCCCAGCCACACAATGCACACGGCACACACGGTATACACAGCACCCCCAGCCACACAGTGCACACGACACACACGGTATGCACAGCACCCCCAGCCACACAGCATGCACACGGCACACACGGTATACACAGCACCCCCAGCCACACAGTGTACACGGCACACACGGTATACACAGCACCCCCAGCCACACAGTGCACACGGCACACACGGTATACACAGCACCCCCAGCCACACAGTGCACACGGCACACACAGTATACACAGCACCCCAGGCACACAGCATGCACACGGCACACACGGTATACACAGCACCCCCAGCCACACAGTGCACACGGCACACACGGTATACACAGCACCCCCAGCCACACAGTGCACACGGCACACACGGTATACACAGCACCCCCAGCCACACAGTGCACACGGCACACACGGTATACACAGCACCCCCAGCCTCACAGTGCACATGGCACACACGGTATACACAGCACCCCAGGCACACAGCATGCACACAGCACACACGGTATACACAGCACCCCCAGCCACACAGTGCACACGGCACACACGGTATGCACAGCACCCCCAGCCACACAGTGCACACGGCACACACGGTATACACAGCATCCCCAGCCACACAGTGCACACGGCACACACGGTATACACAGCACCCCCAGCCACACAGTGCACACGGCACACACGGTATACACAGCACCCCCAGCCACACAGTGCACACGGCACACACGGTATACACAGCACCCCAGCCACACAGTGCACACGGCACACACGGTATACACAGCATGCCCAGCCACACAGTGCACACGGCACACACGGTATACACAGCATGCCCAGCCACACAGTGCACACGGCACACACGGTATACACAGCACCCCCAGCCACACAGTGCACACGGCACACACGGTATACACAGCACCCCCAGCCACACAGTGCACACGGCACACACGGTATACACAGCACCCCCAGCCACACAGTGCACACGGCACACACGGTATACACAGCACCCCAGGCACACAGCATGCACACGGCACACACGGTATACACAGCACCCCCAGCCACACAGTGCACACGGCACACACGGTATGCACAGCACCCCCAGCCACACAGTGCACACGGCACACACGGTATACACAGCATCCCCAGCCACACAGTGCACACGACACACACGGTATACACAGCACCCCCAGCCACACAGTGCACACGGCACACACGGTATACACAGCACCCCCAGCCACACAGTGCACACGGCACACACGGTATACACAGCACCCCCAGTCACACAGTGCACACGGCACACACGGTATACACAGCACCCCAGCCACACAGTGCACACGGCACACACGGTATACACAGCATGCCCAGCCACACAGTGCACACGGCACACACGGTATACACAGCACCCCCAGCCACACAGTGCACACGGCACACACGGTATACACAGCATGCCCAGCCACACAGTGCACACGGCACACACGGTATACACAGCACCCCCAGCCACACAGTGCACACGGCACACACGGTATACACAGCACCCCCAGCCACACAGTGCACACGACACACACGGTATGCACAGCACCCCCAGCCACACAGCATGCACACGGCACACACGGTATACACAGCACCCCCAGCCACACAGTGTACACGGCACACACGGTATACACAGCACCCCCAGCCACACAGTGCACACGGCACACACGGTATACACAGCACCCCCAGCCACACAGTGCACACGGCACACACGGTATACACAGCACCCCAGGCACACAGCATGCACACGGCACACACGGTATACACAGCACCCCCAGCCACACAGTGCACACGGCACACACGGTATACACAGCACCCCCAGCCACACAGTGCACACGGCACACACGGTATACACAGCACCCCCAGCCACACAGTGCACACGGCACACACGGTATACACAGCACCCCCAGCCTCACAGTGCACATGGCACACACGGTATACACAGCACCCCAGGCACACAGCATGCACACAGCACACACGGTATACACAGCACCCCCAGCCACACAGTGCACACGGCACACACGGTATGCACAGCACCCCCAGCCACACAGTGCACACGGCACACACGGTATACACAGCATCCCCAGCCACACAGTGCACACGGCACACACGGTATACACAGCACCCCCAGCCACACAGTGCACACGGCACACACGGTATACACAGCACCCCCAGCCACACAGTGCACACGGCACACACGGTATACACAGCACCCCAGCCACACAGTGCACACGGCACACACGGTATACACCACATGCCCAGCCACACAGTGCACACGGCACACACGGTATACACAGCATGCCCAGCCACACAGTGCACACGGCACACACGGTATACACAGCACCCCCAGCCACACAGTGCACACGGCACACACGGTATACACAGCACCCCCAGCCACACAGTGCACACGGCACACACGGTATACACAGCACCCCCAGCCACACAGTGCACACGGCACACACGGTATACACAGCACCCCAGGCACACAGCATGCACACGGCACACACGGTATACACAGCACCCCCAGCCACACAGTGCACACGGCACACACGGTATGCACAGCACCCCCAGCCACACAGTGCACACGGCACACACGGTATACACAGCATCCCCAGCCACACAGTGCACACGACACACACGGTATACACAGCACCCCCAGCCACACAGTGCACACGGCACACACGGTATACACAGCACCCCCAGCCACACAGTGCACACGGCACACACGGTATACACAGCACCCCCAGTCACACAGTGCACACGGCACACACGGTATACACAGCACCCCAGCCACACAGTGCACACGGCACACACGGTATACACAGCATGCCCAGCCACACAGTGCACACGGCACACACGGTATACACAGCACCCCCAGCCACACAGTGCACACGGCACACACGGTATACACAGCACCCCCCAGCCACACAGCATGCACACCGAGGCTTCCATCTCCTGTGTTTCTCTGCTACCCTCTGTCCTGTTCTCATCTGTGTAGTCTGGGCTAACATAAGTGAGTGCCCCGCCATTCTGACCCAGGGCTTTCTGAAAGGCCGATCGGCTGATTCATAGGTAAGATTTCCACTGTTTTCCCATTCCACTGAGTCTGCAGCTATGGATGCACTAGCATTTCTCTTGCCCTTCGTGGTCTCTCTGGTGGACGCTCTCGGCCCTCTTCATTGTGTAAACATGAGCAGGACCAGAGCGGCGTTAGGAATGGAAACCAACGCTGTGCCTGATGTGGGTTCTTTGCCATCTTTCTCACTGAAGTCCACAATGGTTTTCTGACCACGTCCTGCAGGGTAGCAGACAGGACACAGAGTCTCCTGCTCTCTCCGGACTCACTGAGCCCCGCTGAGCTGATGGAGACAGCCTAGCTCTACCGCAGAGAGGCGCCTCTGAAAAGCTTTCTAAGCAGGAGTCAGAACCCCGTTGGTTACTGCATTCATCTCAAAACCTCACTACCCCACTCTGCTGAAATGAGACACACCTGCGAGACCGTCAGTCCCTGCCTGAGACACAGAACCCCAGGCCTTCACCAGCCCAGCCCCACGGCCTCTTTGCTCAATGAGCCATTCCTGCAGACTGGCCTGGTGTCGGCCCAAGACCACATGTTTCACCCCGTGGGGGCAGGTGAGTGTCCTAGGCGGTGTCTGAAATGACCGAGGAGAGGAAGGCCCTCCTCTGTGTGCGGATTCCGCTGCAGCCAGTGTGCGATTTCTCTTTATCCCTCTCTGTCCCGTCTTCTCCTAATCCCTAGCTGTAAAACCTGCCATGGCGGCTGGGTTACTCCACCCAAATTACAGCTCTTCTATCCTGCGCCGGGAATGGCTCAGTGGTAGTTTCACTTGGGTCCAGGAGATAAACACCTCAAAAAACTAAACTGAGCCAGACATGGGGTGCGTCCAGCTATCATCCCAGCACTCAGGGAGGCCGAAGCAGGAGGATAGCAAGTTGAGACCAGCCTGGATAATTTAGGGATTTAGCAAGACCTTGTCTCAACATTTAAATCCATAAAATAAAATCAAATGGTCTGGGCGTAGAGCTCATTGCAAAGGCTCCGAATTCAATCTCTAATATTAACAAATAAAATAAAAAAGCAAGCCAAAGCCGGAAGTGGCAGCCGCCATTCTTTCTCGGTGTGTTTTTCTCGGGTCAGCTTCTCTCTCAGCTACAGTAAACAGAAGTCATTGAGGAAAAGCACGCTGGGTCCTGCAGCACAGTAGTTTCCCAGGGGCCTGGAAGAGGAGTCAGGACAGGGGGCCATGAAGGGGTTGGGGGGACGTTTGGTCTGGAACTGCTACTCTCCAGGGCCTCTCCAAGCAGGGGCAGCGCACATCTAACCAGGGGGCAGAGAGCAGGCCACAGCCCCAGGGGGCTCAGTGGCTCCCCAGACTGGTTCCGAAATCAAGGCTTGCTGCGGTGGCTAAGGATTCATAAGAGCCTTCCCTGGTTGCCAGTAGAGGTGCAGCCATGTGAAGACTGCCTTAGAATATTTACTCTTTCAGCTTAAAAAGGGAGAGCCTGATAAACAACACCCTTTAACAGTCCAGACCCCTTCCATGACCCCCGCAGTAACAGGGTGTGAGACCCTGCCTTCCACTTCACTGCTGTCATTTATTTTTAAATTAAATATTATTTTAAATATATAAGTAATATATTAGTTTATATGCCTATGCATGTGCCATAAATACTATTAATATATTTGTTTTTATATAAATCCAGATTAACCTAAATATATAAAATATAAATGAGACAAGTACATAAATGATATATTTACTACTGTTTATGATATATTCTATGTTTATATATCACCATGCTTAAAGGATAAGACTTAATTATGTTATTTTTAAATACATAAATAATATGTAATTATGTAGCTTATTCATCCTGTGTATATGAAGGTGTGGGGGAGTCTTTTCTTTGTGTCCCTGTCTGTAGCATCCTTTCACGTGAATGGGTCCCTGTGTTCCCTGTAAGCTCTTTCACTCACCGTTCAGCAGGCGTTTGGGCGCCTCCTCTGCATGGGTGCATCGTAGGTGCCGGCTGCCAAACGGGCCGTGCCATGCCGCTGCCCTCTTCTTGTCGTGCCCATTCCCCTCTTCCTTTTATGTAAGAAACATCGTCTTCTCCCTTGAAAGCTCTGCATGTTGCCACCGCCAGGAAACTGCCCTCCCTTCAGGCTGAGACGGGTCGCCCTCCCCTGGGTCTCTGCCATCTGACCCGTGTAGCCGGAGCCATCTGACAGCGGCCTGTCCCGTCCTGGGGCTCATTTCCTTAAGGGCTGGACCTTGGCCACCACGTTCCCACTGCCCAGTGCGGCCCGCAGGTCACAGTGAAGGTCTTTGGCCTCCAAATCCTTGGCTTTTTTCTCCAGCCTCTCTCTGCCGTGTTCTCGGCATTGATGGTTAGTCATTGCTTCCAAAGCATTGATCAACTTTTTAATGAATATGTCTTTTTCCCATTTATTCCCCCTTCTCTGTAGCTCCAGAAAAGCTTTGGGCTTGAACACGGCAGTGTTCTCCATCTGAAGGGGAAAGAGAAGCCCCCTTCGCAGAGTGTGCTAATGAGCTTCCCCTACCCGCTGCTTTTCAAAACAATGCGTTCAAATGCAGTTAGAACCCAGACCTCCCGTCTCTTCTTCCTCTGTAATTTTGTTTGAATATATTCATTACGTCGGCTCGATAACATATGGCCCCGAGCCTGAGGCTGGGCCCCTGTTTTTATAAATGAAGTTTTACTGGAACACAGTCCTGTCCTCTTGTTTACGTACTGTTTAAGTTGCTTTTGCTCTGCAGTCACAGCATGAGTAGATGCAACAGGGTCGGCATGGCCCACAATGGGGAAAAAAATATTTACTCTCTGGTACCCTACCAAAATCTTAGAACAGTTTGTTCTGGAAGAAATTGGTAGTTGCCATCAGCCTTCGCCTTCCCCGTCTCCTCTCGTCACAGCCTCACTTCTAAGAGCATTCGCTGTTCTGTCCCTGCCTCTGCCTTCCAGGTGACCAGCTCTCCCCTTCCCCGACTTCATAGAGCCTGAGGCAGATGACTTCCTGGCCTGGTGGCTTTGGAATCATCACCGGGAACTGGGAGGGAGGGAAAGTCTTGGTCTCTGTGGTGGCCGCTGTTTCTTGGTTCCAAATCTGGAGCCCCACGTAGCCAGATTGTGAACACAGGCGCAGAACTGGCAGAGAGAATCCTTACAAGTTCTTCATAGGACTCTGATGCACCTTCAGGTTGAGAACCATGGGATTCTAATCTCTGCAGGCGTCTGCAGCCCTAGTTTATAGGACTGTAAAGGCACCTGCCTTTGAAGATGAACAACCGAGCCTGTGTCCCAAATGACCGCTCTGAGGTTGTAGCTACGACCAGTTCATAATGTGTTTCCTAGATGTTTGCTGATAGAAGTGGGCAGAGGATCTCAAGAGGACCCGGGCTGCACAGAAAGAAGGACAGGGAGATGGCCTGTGTAAGAAGAATATTTTGGGAAACAGGAAGCTTGAGTACTTGGTGGCAGGAAGAGGAGGGGAAGGAAGGACGGGAGAGCAAAGGATTGATCAGAGTGACTTGGGTCACTCGGGAGGACCACAAGGAGCTCCCTGTCCCTCGGGACAGCATTTCTCACATGCAACAAGTTGAGTTTCTGAGTCTGCCGTAGACTAGATGCTAAGAAATCCATGCTAACATGGACTGATTGGTAAATGGATCCAAGCCTTGGGCCCTCGCCTTAGACACATCTGCCTGGGATATGGGGAAGTTAAACACAGCGTCTGTGAGTGCCGGCCCAGGGCTCCACAAGGAGCCTGCCATCCTTTAGGTCTTCCCCAGACTCGGCTAACGACAATGGGCTTCCACGGGCCTGACTTGTCTCTCTGACAGCTGTGCCAACCTGGGCGCCACCAGATCTGCTTTTCTTGGACGGGAAAGTCACCTCGGACCAGAACGGCACAGCTCGGATCCAGTGCATTAGCTGCACAGGGCCGGTATTTACCTTGGACCGGGTCCTGCTGCTGACATTTTGGCAGGCTGGCTCCTGTCACTGAGGAACTCACTGAAACTGCAAAAGGGCGTCTGCAGAGGACCAGCCGTTTTCCATCTTTAGCATCGTCCAGCTGCAGCTCGCAGAGGAGCCGGGTGCGCCCTCGGGGCCTCTCCATTCAAGCCGTCTGCGTTAGCGAGCCAGGCACGTCAAGCTGTAAAACAGCAGTTCAAAATCCTACTTTTGTGACCCTAGCAATTCATCTAACATGGTGACAGTCTTATAAATCTGGTACAAGTGTTAGACTTTTTAAGTAATTTGATTAAACCCTATAAATCAGAATAGAATGTCCTAGACTTTCTAGTTGTCTGAGGGGTCTCAAACACAGGGATGAGCTCCTGAAGCGAAACCCTGCATTTGCACAGGCTTCGACTCCTTGTGGCCACATAATAAATTCACAAAGTGATACTCATCAGTATGAGTTCAGTGTCAAAATGTTAGTAATTTATCATTATTTAAATGGCTTCCGTTGACTTTAGACATTGACTATAATGAGTAGTTTCTCCATAAACGAGATGTTCCCATAAAAATAGATTAACTCACCCCCTGGTTATCTTAGACTTGCAAAGAGAGGCTCGCCCTTCTCTAAGCATCCTTCCCTCCAGTGCCAGCGAGCAGGAAGAGCAGGGGCGGGGTCTGGGCTCCACTGCACTGCGCAGGGGGGAAACAGGAAGTTGCTTCTCTCCCCACAGGTCGCTGTGCTCTTGGACATGGTACCACTGTGGGTTAACAGGAAGTGCTTAGGGTAGACGTGGAGCAGAGGAAGGAGCTGAAAAACGTTAGTACTGTTCCATCACTGTTCTTATGGGGACCCATTAAGCCACTGCAGTCATGTCCCAGGGATGTGGCCATCCAGCAGCCTGGTGGTGAACAAAATGTGATGTACTAGTGAGACCCCAGGGACCCCGAGAGCTCTCCTTCAGTCACTGGCGCCAAAATAGGAGGGGATGGGGATTACATGGGATCGGAAGATGCAGAGCAGGAAGTCTAGGGGTTTAATGAAAGGAGAAAAATGGGTTGATGCTTAAGAGAAAGACAGACTCGAAGAAATAATTAGGATGGGAAGGTGGTGATGTAGCCCAAGCTGCCCCCGTCCGGCAGCCTGAGATGAGATGGCTCCCACTTGGCTCTTGTACCCATCTCCTGCTCGGGAGTCCCAGCCCACTGTGGGTATCCCGGTGCATTTATTTTAGGGTATGCAGAGAGCATTTCACATTTACAGGAGACTCGGGGCTTCCCCACCCTCTGTCCCCCAATTGAGGCAACTGCTGCCTGTCCACTCCTCTCCTCTCCCTAGAGTACAGTCCAGACAGAAACGCCATGACAGACAAATTCACTAATCAGAAAAATTCAGAAGATGCTAAACAGCACACCGGTCAGTACCCCCACCCCTTCTACTGGCATAAAGCCACTCACCTCCCACCGAATCCCTGCTTCCTACAAGATACCATAAATCAGACTGGACTAGACACAAAGGTGGCCACTGAGGAAGCAGGAACGAAGGACAGCGATGACTGTCAGCTCACCAGCCCTATGGGAAGCTTCCATCTCGGGTTGGGGCGGGGCAGAGGGAAGAGGGTGCTGCTGAGGAGTGCCGAGGCCCCAGGGAACCCGGCTGGGCTTCCCCACTTGTACCAGGAGCCTGCTCTCCCAGAAGCCAGGCGACTGTGCCTGCTTGCCACTGCAAACCAGCAGCCTGGGGGAATCCATCCCACGCTGGCTGTACTTTATTGAGGGTGGCGATGTGCAAGCAGAGCCTGATACAGTCCCATATGGTTACCCCTCAACTAGTAGCCTTAAAAGAGCAGGAATGCTGTGGAAAGTGTTTCAGCTGCAGCGATTTGTCTGTTCTGTGGCTCCTCGGGAATGCACTTAGCTCCTCTGCTAAAAATGCTCCTGGCGACTGCTAGGTCCTGGAGTGACCATCAACACAGACAGGGTGTGGGAGTCAAGAATGCCAGTTTTTTTCCCTACCTTTATTTCCTTTGCCTAAATAAATTTGGCACTCCTGGTGTCTCTGATATCCCCATCTCACCTCCCCTTTGAAACTCCCTTGATACGAAAAACATGCTTGGAAGCTGATTAAAGTTGAGCTGGGCACCTGCCCGGCCTGTGGAGGGGCTTCCCAAGGGCTCACCTGGCTCATACCCTTTACCATCTGGAAAGCCCTGCAAGGCGGGTCTTCTAGACTTTAAATCTGTTCCACTGGGAATGCTTCGCCCTTCATCCCTTTCGATCTTTTTTTCTACAAAGAGGACCAAGGACTGAGAAAAAGAACGTGTCACAGTAGAATGCTTCTTCTTTTATCCCTGAGCAGTGGGTTTTCCTGTAGCGATTCGGAATTCTAGAGGAACAAATCCTAAACAAACATTAGTATGTTTGTTATAAAATTTAACACACACTTTTATTCAAGTTGCGATATTCTCTGCACTTTTCTTACAAAAACACGAAGTGTCTGCCTTGTCTGCCGACATAGCTATGGGCCGTGTAAGCCTTTGCTATGGCTTGGAAGTTTCCTGTCTCCTGAAGGCCCACATGGTCAGGGATGGGCCCCAGGATGGCACTGTTGGGGGTGCAGGGAACCATAAAGAAGTGTGGCTGAGTAGGAGGCTGTAAGTCAGGGGGGTCAAGGAACTGGGGCCACTTAGCTCACACAGCTCTGCTTCTGACCATGAGATGAGCAGCTCCCCACCTCTGCTGCTCAGGAGGGGCCCAGAACAAAGGGTCTTCCCAGGCTTGCACTGGACCCTCGAAAACTGTGAGCCAAAACCAACCTTTTTCTCTTTATCAGTTAATTATTTCCATTATTTCACTGTAGTTACAGAAAGCTGGACAACGTATCTTTCAACCAATATTTTCCTCCTGAGTACCAAGTGTTAACTTTTGTTTATGGCTTATGTGACTAACAACCCTCTCCCTGTAATGAAAAGAGGCTGTGTCTTCTTAATGTGTAAACAGCCCAGTGGCTAAAACAGAGCAGTGCTCCTGGGACGTAGTCAACTGATGGGGCATGCAACTTGATATTAAAACATATTACATTCTCTCGGGTGCAAAGTGGCATAGTGGGGACTCCCCAGGGTCCCTCCTCGGGTATCATTTCTGCCCATTTTCCAAATAGTCAAGTCAGTAAATGGACAAAAAAGAGAGCAGTGAGAGGAGGGGAATCCACAGTTCCATGTTTACAATCCCTAAACGATTAAAGAGGAAGTGGGTTCTTTAGCAAGATTTTTTTTCCAAGAATACCAAGAAAGTTCTTAATGTTCTTGGAAACAAATAAGGTTCCTCATGTAGAGAGTTGTGCAACAGGCATCGGGGGGGAATTTTGATGGGAGATGCCAAACCTCACCAAGCCGACCGCGGAGAGGTCAAGGGAAGGCTCTGCGACCCTGCAGGTCCAGGGTGGGAAAGGCAGGCCGCAGGCCAAGCCCTGCTAAGAAGCTTCACACTAGTGGATGCGGATAAATGGAAGATGGCTGTGTGCTGGGGTTGGGATTTTAGCCCCACTGAAACCTGCCGTGAAATTTAGTCCCTGGTGGGATTTACTTAGGAGGGACCGAGGAAAAGTAATTAGGCCGTGAGGGTGCTGGGCTGTAGGTTGGTTAGTGGACTGGCGGGCTATCTCAAGGTGGATCTGATATAGAAACCTCCTTCCTGTGCAGCCTGCAGGCCATGTGATGCCCTATGCTGCCTTGGGACTCTACAGAGTCCCTACCAGCAAGAAGGCCTTGAGCAGACACAGCCCTTGACCTTGGGCCTCCAGAGCCATGAGCTGGATGAACCTTCTTCTATATAAATTACTCAGCCTGTAGTACTCAGTTATAGCAACAGAAAATATAGTAAGATACCATGTGAGTGAGAAAACAACCAGTTTACCTATTTTTTTCCTTATCAGTAGGAAGGAGGTACACAAGGTACCTGGCCTAAGTAATTCAAATTCACAGACTGACTCTGCCCAAAGCAATAGTTTTAGCATTTCCACGCATAAATCCTTTTCCAGAACGACTAAAAAAAGAGTCAGTAGACTGGCTTGAATGTGAGGCCCTTGTTCTACTGAACATCATATGGTGACTATCAAAGCGGGACAGAGAAGGGAGGAATCTAACCTAAACAGCAAGCTCCCGGAACAGCCGGCCCACAAACAGCAGCAAAGTCCGTTCAGTGAAGGCAGGGAATGACAGGAGGAATTTCCAGCGGGCTCTGTCATTACTTCCACAGCCCTGGGCAGGTCACCTAACCACTTTATCATCATCACACTGGCCAATAAAACCTCAACGTCCTCATCTGTAAGATGAAGCGGTTGAACTATTGGACCTCCAAGGCCCCTTCCAGCTCTCAAATTCCAGAGCACACATGATTTATCTTGCAGAAATAGTTTCTGAGTTGCTCAGGACTGAGTGTTAGAATGAAAGCCTCCGCAGCAGGCAGGAGGAGAGTATTCCCCGGGTTTTGGCCACGGGGGAAGAGCCCATGGCTTCCATCACAGCTGTCACCTCATCAGGCACGTAACGTACGCCTAACACAGGGAAGGGCCTGAGCTATGTCCTGGGCAAATAGAGCGTCATTCCTGCTCCAAGGGGGTCATTTTCCATCTCAAAGCAGGCAGCTGCACAAACGAGACCAAAGGTCTGGTTCAGATACCCGGGAGAAAAGAAAGTCATCGCAAATATAACAAACGCTGTGCGTTGGGCTATGATTTTTCCTGTGAAAGTCAAGCGCCTCTGGAAAGCACCAAGCCCCAGGTCTGGTGCATTCCTCGGGTCCTTCATCCTGCTTCAGCCAGAGACCAGCAGAGACACTAAGTTAGCACCCCCCACACACAGCATGCCCTGGGTGTCCTGGGCCGAGAACCCAACTTAGAAGGAAACACTCTTGCTCGTAAAAGGGGAATTGCGATGACAGTCACTAGCTCAAAGTGATTGGAAAATCCACGCAGGCCCATACCCTTCACCTGACCTCGGTCATCCCCAGCGGTGGTTCTCTCTGACTCCTGGCTCTGCCCTGCGCGTCCCTAGTTCCAGGCTCTGGCTCCTCCTGTTGTTTCTGTGCGAGATGGCTCATGTGTGAGCAAACTTCTCCGCTTACATCCTCCATGCAAAAGGCTGAGGTCCCCAAGCCTTCTGTCCACACTGCACTGTCTCCTCAAACCCAGGCTGACACCGGCTTCCTGCATATCAGTGCCACACAGCCACCCTGGGTGGAGCAGCCAGATTATTCAAACAGCAGAGTTAGAAGAAAACTCTCATTCAGTTCTGAACCAAAAGCCCAACCTGAAAAACTTTGTGCAGACCAGGGGTGGAGTCACATATGGCGTCTCACCTTGGACACACTTCAGTCTAAGCGCTGCTGTCCCCAGACAACAGACAGGGCTTGTGTCAGTGTGTTAAAATACTCGCCACTGTGCTTTCTTTTTTTTTCTTTGCACTTTATTTTTGTGAAATGCCGTAACCATGGTTCCAAAGAAAGTGATACCACCAGCAAAGCGAAGGGGAAAACTGTGAGAATCACGACAGAGTTAAAGAAAGGAATCACTGCAAAATTTGCTCAAGTCCTGAGGGAGGGGGGATGAATTGGTAAGTGTAAGTGGGAAGCCTCAGAACCAATAATTTGGTTTTCCATTATTTCTTATAGGAAAAATACATTCAGTTCTCAAACTTTTCAGTGTTTGACTTTGAATGTGGAATGAATTGAGTTCGGCAACCAAGGTTTGGCTGGGTGTCGTTCACCTGGTCAGAAAACACCCACACACGTGGCCCTGCCCAAGGGAAGTCCTTCCGCACCTCAGCCTTGGGTGCTGCCCGCGGTGCCCTCACCGTCCTGAGAAGCTCCCTTGGGTAGCTGTGTGGGTCCATGGGGAACGCCCTCGGGTCCTCTGGAGGACTTCAAGCTGTCAGAGAAGTACGTTAGATCTTTGTGACGTCTTAGCCAGGGAGCTTAGCCAGGATGTCACCCTTCCCAGGAAGCCATTTCTTTTTTTTTTTTTTTTTTTTTAATCGGTACCAGGAATCGAACTCACAATCACCTGCTTGCAAGGCAGGTGCTTATGCTGCTGAGCTAAATCCCCAGCCCCATAGAAGCTATTTCTTAATCAAGAGCCCTTTGCTGGCTGAGGACTCTCTTCTGGACCCTTTAAAATTTTTCCAGCTTTCACTCCAAAGCTCAATGATTTGTCGTTTAATACACCTCTCTCTTCTCTTAATAGACACTAGATTAAGCCTATCCAACCACGAAAGTTTCAGGAAGGAAGTACCAAGAGCTGCACCGAATTCACCAACACCGCCTCTATTTCCACCAGATTGCTGGGGACAATCTGACGGTCTTCACTACCACGTAACAAGTGCCTCCATTCCTCTGATATCCCCCTCCTTCCCTTTGAGCCTTCTGTCTTCAGAGCACTTTGGCCTCTGCTAACAGGCTCTGCAAGTACCTCCTGGCTCCCTACTGCTCCAGGTCCCAACGCGATGAAACATCTTGCAGGTTTTATTTAAGGACCCGCACCTTCCCCATTTCAGCTACCAAAGTACCAAACTCTGCTGGTTAGCTGTTGCTAAGTAACCAATCACCCTAACATCAGTGGCCTAAAGTAACAATTTTGTTGTCTCACGTTTCTGTAGATGGGGGACCTGGCAAGGGCTTGGCTGGGTGGATCTGACCGATAGCTTCTCAGGGAGCTACAGTGCGTTAGTGGCTGGAACAGGACAGTGGGGAAAGGCCAGCAAAGTGGGGCTTTTCCGGCGGTCTCCCGGCCTCTCCAGTGGTCTGAGTGGGCTTCCGTGAAGCACAGCGGCCCCAGCACCACGGCAGCCAGGGTGCTTACTTATCCGCTCGAAGCTCTGAGAGCAAGGCAGTCTCCCAGCCTGCCGGGCAGGAACCGCACTGCCTTCCCAGCAGCCCTGCAAAATCACCTGTGCCACATCGTGGGGATTACGGATGATTTACAGGAGGAGGAAGGAAAGTAGCCTCCACCTCTTGATGGTAACGGGAGAACGTGGGGCCACGTTCTGGAAAAAACCTGTCAGGAGCAGATGGTGGCACGAGCCGGGGTGAGGGGGGCACAGTACCTGCCACATAGCCACGTTTTACGTCCTCTTCGCTCAGGTCACATCATGAGCTGTTATCCGTGTGGGGCTGTTTTTCTGAGCATGGCAGAATCTTCTCAGAGGTGGCATCGTTTCCTTTCTTCCCCTTTTGTGACTTTTACCATTGCCTTTCACTGCTGGTAGAGCATTTTTATAATTTTATAGCTCAGAGAATCGCAGGGGTAGAACACAGTGTATTTGGCCCACCAACCAATCATTTCATTGTGTGGGTGACAAACCCAAAGCTTAGCGCCACAAGGTCATCAGCTGCTGCGTCACAAACCTCGCTGGGGACAGAACTGGACTCAGAAAACACTTGTAGGCTTCCAACCCAGCCCCTCTCCCCGTGGCTCTCCGTGAGGGTACCCGGCCCGCTGCAGGCACGCAGCTCCTCCCGCGCCCTCCCACCTCCCCCATCCCAAAAAGACCTGAGGACCTGATGTCCTTTGCGCTTCTATTGCTTTGTCCTGGGGAAGATGCTGGGGGCCGGGTCTGTCCTTCCAGCGTGCACATTTAGCTTCCATTTAATTCAGGAAGAGTACATCTACTCGAGGGTGAAGCTTGGCCAGAGGACGTGATTGATGTCAAGGGTCAAAGGCACCAGCTGTTTCCCAGCGTGTTTTCCTGTCACTCCCTGAGCCCTGTGTGCTAAAGAAGACCTCTGTGTGCCTTTCAGGACAACTGGTATGACATAAAGTCCCAGTGCCTCTAGGTTTGCAGGGAGTAGTTTAGCACGGTTTTAGGTGTTCATTTACAAGTCCTTTGTCCCCGCCTGTTCACTCTCAGGGACGGGCTGTCCCTCTCTAGCAGCTGTTTTCTTAGATCTGGGGTCCACCAGGAAGCCAGTGATTCTGGAAGGCTTCCCTCCCCTCCTAAGAAACAAATAAGTAACATGAATTTATTAGTAATATGAATCACACACACAAACCTGAATTCCAGCTGACCGAGCTCTCAAAGCCACTGCCACGAGTATCTCTGAGTGTTTTGTTTTCTGTTGGGTACCGAAGCAGCCTCTAGCACCAACTCCATCCCCAGTCATTTTGTGTTTCTTATTTTGAGACAGGGCATTACCCAGTCTGGGCACCAACTCATGATCCTCCTGCCTCAGCCTCTCAGAGTGCTGGGATTGCAAATAGACACTAGCACGCTTGGCTCATCTCTGAGTTTTGAAATATCAGATGCGTTCTTTGAGCACCAATTTATGTGTTTTAGACAGAAACAATCTGGAAGATTGTTAATAACTTTCCTAGAAAAAAATGACCTCAAAAAGGAAGAAAAAAGAACAGTAAAATCACACAACAAAAATCTAAACGGTCAAAGGTAATTTAGAAAGCAGATTTGATACAAAATCCAAAAAATCCTAAATACCTTAAAATGTATTTCTACAGTTATTATCACTTTAATTTGGTTGAAGATACAGAGAGTCACTGTGTCCTAAAGCGACTTAGATTTAAAATATTGTCCCTGCACATAAAATTAATGTTAGGAGCAAGATAGAAATGTCAGACTTGGACATCAGATGACAGGTCTCGATTTTAGGAAATGGTATTAATTTGGTAAATCTTCCAACTCTGCCGTTTCTAGAAAACAAATTTTAGACTCCTCCCAGATTTAATGAAATTAAAGAGGACTGGCTCATGCCAGTTGAACCCACAACATACAAAGCTATAGTACACAAAATACCCTTGGACAAGGATTTATGGTATTATGTTTGCCAAGCAAGCCAGGATTCTAGCATTTGCCAGAGGGATGCTGGTCAAGACAGCCTCCCTGTAACGGAAATGTGTGTATTGACCCAGGCCCAGCCACTATGCCAGGTCCTAGGGAATCGAGGATGCCATCCCAAGCTGCCCAGTAAATAGCAAGGCTAACAGTCTGTTTTGAACACACAGAGAAACACCCAGTCTTCTAGCCTGGCAGTCAAAGATGGCTCAAGGAGGGGCGTCTCTGTGAGCTCTGGTGGGAAACAGCAGCAGTAATCAGGCACTGGCAGGGCAAAGCAAAAACAGCACGTCTCAGGCAGGCCTGGCAGCTCGTTCAGAAGCGGCAGGAAGTGGGTTTCTGAGTGCGGTAAGCAGGGCAGTCGGACGGGGTATCTTTAGCGTCAGGAAGCTGGGGTCAGGTGGGGGTCTCCATCCCCGCTCTGCCCTTGGGGGTGGCCAGATGTTAGGCATCACCTCTGGAGCGCATTGCCCATCCCCAGGCAAGTCCCTCCTTCCTTTCTCAAACTGCAAGGATTGCATCAGGAATGCCACTTTGGAGGTCATCATAAGCAATTTTTAAAACTGAATAGAATAAAAGTAATTGAGCACATTTCCCACAGCAAGAGAAAGGGTTATGGTGAGATTTTATTTTAGATGAGTGGATGGATGAATGGATGTACAGATGGATGGACGGAAATAGGTGTTCTCCAAATGCATACTGGCCAAATGTCAAATGGTCAAGGGTTATGGGCTAATATTCACCTGACGCTGTGGCCAAAACCTCAACCCCCGCCCCATGACATAAGTTTTGTTATTAAAAGTAACGCTTTTGGGGCTGGGGATTTAGCTCAGCGGCATAAGCGCCTGCCTTGCAAGCAGGCAGTCATGAGTTCGATCCCCGTTACCGACAAAAAGGAAAAAGACAAAAAAAAAAAAAAAAAAAAAAAGCAGACTCTCTTGGGTTCCGTGGGGCACCTAGGTGCTTTCTCTGACGTTCCTCCTCTTCCTGACACTTTCTGCTTCTCTCATCTTGTGTGGATCAGAGATAACTGAAGGGGGAATACTCCAGGCGTTGACACCTGTGGCAGAGAGGATACAGCAGAAATGGGACAGAGGGGTTAGGGCGGAGAAGCCTCTCAACAAAGATCCTCGTCAGCCCCACAGCAAGCTCAGAATTCGCAGGCTGGCCCTCCAAGTCTGTCCTGGCAAGCAAGATTGGCCAGTCTTTCTGTCCTGACTGCCCTCAGGGAAGGAGCATGACCTTGGGGAGGTGACACTCTTCACGGGAGGGCATTTCCCAGAGAGGGCAGTTTGTGGGCCAGCAGCTGAGGACCGAGTGCTTCAGTCCCAAAGTGGGATGTAGGTGACCCATTGCAGCGTCTCTGCCACAGTGACCTACTACGATTCTGAAATTGTTTTTCCTTATTAAGAAATTTTAGGGTAACAATATTGATTTTCTGCTTTTAATCCAGCCTTATGAGATGTGACATTTCCAAACAGTGCTCTATGTTTTGTCAGTCATATTTCAATTGAATTAAGTACTAACAAAATAAATTCAGTGCTTAGAGAATTGCACTATAATTAAATTTCCACCGTTTGTTGCTCTTTGAATTCATAAAAATTTATTGGCTCAGAAAATATATAATGTTCTTGCTCTACTGTGTACTTTATTATTCTTTATAATTTCGTTTTTGTTTTTGTTGTCTTTCGGTTCTTTTGTTTTGTTTTGTTGTTTGAGACAGTCTCACTATGTAGTTCAATCTGGCCTTGAACTTGCTTATGTAGCTCAGGCTGCCCTCAGTCTGGGATTACAGATGTGCACCCTTGTGCTTGGCTATAATACATTTTTTAAAAGTTGTTTTGTATATAGTATCAGAGTTATTACTATTCCCTTGTAGTCTTACAGCAATACATGTACATTTATAATTCCATTTACTTAAATGGATGCAGATCACATAAAGAGATTTTTCACTGGGTACATCTAGCATGTCTTATATTTCAAAGTGAATATTCAGATATAACAATAAATTCAAGTGACAGTCCTTTTTTATTTATCACCAGGCCAGGGCTGAGGATCCTAAGCGGCACATCCACCCCCTGGCGTCCTGGAAGGCTGGATTGTGCTGCTTCTGTGTCTCTCCATGTATACGCAGGGCCTCTCTGTTAGGATGGTCAAACTACTTACAAGAGGTTCAAGTCTCCCAGAGAAATGAAAATGCCTAGACTTCTGTTATGGTTTATGTCCTCATGCCCCTGAAAAGCCCCCGGCACTCAGGTGGGACTTTGAAAGGGGATTGGACTGTGGGGTGTATACCTCACTTGCTGTCAGCAAGCGGGGTCTGGGTAGGAGGTTTATCTCTTGCCCAGCTCCTCCCTTTGCTCTCCTCTTCCTGTCCACCGTGCCGTGAGCAGCTGTCCTCCGCCAGGCCCCTCTGCCCCGCCGTCCGGCCTTGCAGCCAGCTGACTGTGCTGGGGCACAAGTCAAAGCTAACCTCCCCTCTTTTAAGTCATAGGCGTAGGGTATTTTGGCCTGATGATTAAAAAGGTGCCTAAGACAGCATCTGATAAAGCTAGGCCCAGCAATCATTTCCACCAGCTAATCAGCAATAGGGTCTTTGCTTACCTAGCCAATGACGTTCGACGTCCTTGATTTGGCATTGGCCTGTCTGCACCCCCAGCTTTTCTGCTGCCCCGTCTTCCACTATTTCTTGCACGGGGTCCCGTTCCACACTGCTTCAAGCTCTTCATTGAACCACCTTTTCCTATTGATCCAAATAGAATCCAGCAGCCCTGCGTCGCTCCTACCCTACGCTGTACTCTCTCGGATGTGGAGGTGAGTGGACTGGATGTGTTCATCACTGTCGCCTTCTCTACATTGTTCATCTTACGTCACCAGCACTTACTACATATTTTAGGTCTAATTACTCACTAAGCTTTACTCTAAATCAGGCCCCGTAAAGAAAAGTTCCGTGAAAGTGTGGCCCCTACAGTGTGCAAAGGAGTGGGCTAGACGTGCCCCGTGCACTCGCAGGGCAGCGCACACTAAGCACAGTGTGAGTGACAGCAGGAGTTAAGTTCCTCGAGGAGCGTCTGCACCTGTCCCCCTGCAGCCACTTGGCCCTTGTCTTGATTATCTTCCGCCACCTGCCCACATTCCTGTTCAGCCTCCTATCGAGGGTTGAAGAACGTGGAATACAGCTGGTTTAACTCTTTTTTAATCTCCAGTTTCCGGCCCTCAGTCAGAATTCAGTAAGTATTTTTGGAATGGACAGAGCAGCCAGTCCCCAAGAAATGCCCCCTCTAGACACCTCATCTTCCATCAGAGGCTGTCACATGCACCACTGATCCCAAGACGCTGCTCCGTTTCTGCCCCACTTCCTGTCCTCTCGGGGCTGACGGCCTGAAGAACACAGCCACGGTCCTGGAGCTGCACCTCAGAGTCCTGGAGAGAGGCCCGGGAGAGCAGCTGAACGTCTCAGTGCCTGCGCCCCTTGCCGTTAGGGTCAAACTTGAGATCTTTCAGATGCTGGAAATGCTCCGGTCCAGAGTCTGCTCCCCATCAGTGGATTTCGAATGGTTGTCATGAGGGGAAGAAGGCTGCCTTTGAAAACACTAGTGGAGAAAACTTGGCACGCCAGAGGAAGGCACGCCTCGGCTCGGTGACTCAGAATAGGACGTGTCAGGTTGGAGACCTTAAAAAAATCACTGCTGCTTCATCAGCCCAGCTGCAGAAATCAGGCAGGGAGCCGGGACAGGGGGATGGGCTGGAGACGAGGACAGGGGCTTCTGGGAAACCGCGGGGTGGGCAGGGAAGGATCTCGGTGCCCCCAGGGTGGTAACCGGCACCGCTGTGCCTGCATGTTCACCAAACACTTCCTGTGCACTCCCCCTGCAGACTGCCCTCTCCAGTTCCTCCAGGAAAGAGGGAGAGGCTACCCCTAGAGGGTGAGGAGGCAAACAGCTCAGATCCATTCACTATTTTGTGAAAACTCAGTTTCCTTTACAGGAGGAAGGGGAGAGGGCGGAAGGGTAAAACTCTCGACTCAACCAAGTTTGGGTATCATTTGTTTTTATGCCCTTTCTTTTTCATTTGTAAACCAAAGAACCTCACAAAGGATTGGAGAAGCCTGAACAGAGGGAGAACGGACCTGGGTTCCCGCTCTGGAGTGGTAAAGCACAAACCACTTCCCTTCCCTGCAGCTCGGTCTCCTTGTCTGTAATATAAAAGCCAGGATGGTGAATCTACAGAAAATGCACACACCAGCTCTGCACTGGGGCAGAAATCTGCTGTGGGTTACGGTCCACTCCCAGCCAGCAAGGCTGGGCTTCTCAGTGAGACCCCAAACAGTGGCTGCGAGTTGATGGAAAGGAATCAGCCCCCAGGAGGAAACACCCGGTACCCCAGAACTGCAATCGTGTCCCTCACAGCGCTTGTTCATTAGCGGTGACATCAGAGACCCAGGACCACCTGCCGGAGAGACCAATTCATGCAAATCAGATGTCAGTTGAAATTCTCAAGCCATCCTGTCTCTGCTTGCAGGTGTGGCTGGGGCCCCACCAACAGAAATGACCTACATGTCCCCAACGCTGGCCACTGTACCCCTGCTTCCACTGTCAACCTCTTGCAGAGCCCCTCACTCACTTTAGGACCCCAAAAGCCCCTATAGGCATCTGGCATCACTCAAGAGCTGGTCTTGTCATTCCATAGTGGCGCCTCGCCTGCTGTGCAGTTAGAGAGGCCCCCTGGGGTCCTGTTCTCTCCCTGCCACGCTAAGGAAGACTTCAAAATACCTCAAAGCCACCCCAGGTCTACTGTCTCCACCCTGGCATGGGCAGATGGCTCCTTTTCCGGGACAGCTGCCGTCTCTTGCTCCATGGTGCTCAGCTGGGGCCTCTAAGGGACTGGGGACATAGTGGCTTAAGCATCACAGAGGCTACACCAGGGGTGGACCGGATAGCACAGTCCTCCAGGAAGGGAGTGGCCTCAGAAGACAGTGAGAGGAAGGGAAGGAGAGGCTGTCCAGTGACGGGAACTCTCACAGAGACACGCCGTCCCTCCGGGAGCAGACGATGCCTGTTGAGGTCCTCCGTGATGGACATTAAATTGCTGGGTTTGTGCAGAACCTAAAAGCCAAATAGAGACATTTGGATTTGATGTGAATGCCATAAGGGAGCCCTTCTGGCAGTCTGTTTAGAGGGGGATTTGGGAGGATTAATCCAGAAAGGGTTTATAGGAGAAACTGGAGAAGGACAAACTGTCTGCAAGATGAGTTCAAAATGCTTTCATACAGTTCATTCCTCTGGGAGTTTTAAATTTAATTAGAAAATAAGACGCCAGTGTGTTTTGTGCACACTATTGGCTCATGTGTGTACCTTCCCTACAAACACTTTAAAACCTGTTTATTTTCTATGTGAAAGAGGTAATGCACCCACATGGCTCCTAAATCAAAACAGCATGAGGGGAGATGCCCGGTCCCACCCGAAGCTGTGTCCCCGTGACTCTATGAAACATTTGCATCGTTTCCTGGCGTGTACTCCTGGAGTTCTTTACACAGACCCACGCAAATACAAATGTATATTCTTATCTTCCTGCTTTTTTCTTTTCCTTTCTTTTTTAACAAAAAAGCATGCTACGCAAAGTTTCTTTGGACTTCGTTTTCTCACTTAAAATTAGATCTGACAGATTCTTGCCGCATTTTTTGTCAACTGCCACGTATTTCATTACATGGAGAGCCAGCTCCTTATCAAAGGATGTCTTTAGCAATCTTTTGCCATGATAGATGGTGCTGTAAAAATAAAACACTTGTCTCTGTATTATTTCATAAGTGTGCAGCCTCTACCCAGAACAAATTTGACGGCACACAGTCCACATGCAGTAACAATTTTTAGAGAGGTTTCTGCGTTGCCCCCTCTGGGGAACTGTGCTTTCCCACCACCACAGCTGGACCTGCCTGCTTCTCCGGGCCCTGCCAACACTTCCGGTTACTGCTCTGGTGGGGTTTCTGGTCTACTCAATGAAAGATTTGTGCAGCTCTGATTTCCTTTTCTCTCAGTCGAGGGGAAGTTGAGTGTTTAATCCCTTTAACTGAATTTTAATCCCTTTAACTTAGGGAGCTGATTTCACCATTTCTGAATCTCTTCAGAAATCTTCCCCAAGGCCTTCTACCAAGTAGATTTTAAGTCAAGCTTTGTAAATCCAATAAATGTTTCTTTGAATAAGTAGATAAGTGATTGAATAAATGCTCATGCTATCGGAGTTATAAATCTTAAATTAGATGTGATCCTTCCCTCAAGAAACATAAAACATGATAAGCTCACGGCACAGTTACAGAACCAACTTGTGTGTGTTCCGAGAGGATACATAGTTCTCCGAGTCTGAATAAATCAGTGGCCTGAGGCTAAAGAGAGGGAGAATCTTACGTGGACTACATTGCTAATCCCCAGAAAGATGAGGGGTTGGGGGAACAGGAACCTCACAGCTCGTTTCCGTGGGTTTTCATTCGTCTGAAGAATGCTTTACAGCTGGTCTGATTAAACCTTTTTTGCAGAACCAATTCGTAGATCAAAAGGGAGACAAAGTAAAACCCAGCACGTGCTTCTGGTTCCTCAGGCTCCTCCCAGCCTCATTTCTCCTCAAAAGCCATTCAAAACTTTGGCTGGCACGGGCTGTCGCAGGCTGGAGTCTCAAGCCGTTTCTCGGCTTCTCTGTCATTGACCTTCTCTGTCACTGTAAGTCACTAGCAAAGCACGTTTTACTGTCCACTTGGTTTCATGAACGTCACAGAATTCCATGCGCCAGGGGTCCATCTGCCAACTGTTGTATGCCTTTGTCAGTCAATCGGGTGCCCCCGCTGGATGGGCAGAGGATGAGAGAGCATTGTCAGCAGGACCGCAGAAGAATTTCCCATGGTGCACTGGTGCCCAGCATGACTTTCCTCACCACCCTGCTCAAGCTGAACTGTGGCCCCGAGAGGAAGGACTGTTCCAAAATCAGGGAGCCCGGCCCCCACACACAAGACTGCCTTGACCCCTAAGAGAGGGCAAGCTGCCCACACAGTCACAGGGGTGTCATGGAGCTGAGCCATAGATACATCAAGGCCAGCAGCACTGGGTCAGAAACAACAGCCCACCCAGGAATAAGGAGACAGAATGGGGCAGCCAAAGAAGAATGAGGAGGTGGAACCTGAGATTTCAGGGTGGAGTCTATCTCCAGAGCCCCCATGACTAAAAACAACCCTAGCACATATTACCAGAGACCTAGGCGGAAGCAGAGTGGGGCCTCTTCCTGGTATTTCAAAGAGTCTGCTGATGACAGTCAGTCACTTAAGAACACCCACAAAATCAGGATACTTGTGAATTTTCTGTCACTCAGCTCTTTTATGCTATTTTGGTGCCATGCATATGCATGCATTTGGAAATGGCAAGTCAAGGGGAAATACCTTTAACACGTCCTCACCAACTCACAGTCTGTAACCTGGGTTCCCTGTGACACTTCCACCGGTAACACATTGAGTCAGGGAGGGCTGTTCCTCCCCTCTCCGCTACCTAGTGTCTTATAGCCAGGGAAGCCCAGGGCTTGGCAAGGTTGTGTGACAATTCATAAAGAGGAACCAGGGCTCTGACTTGGGCCTTCTGAACTCTAAACTGGAGATCGTTCCAGAATTTGTTTCTTGAGCCATTGCAAAATTAGCTTCATGGGAAAAATCACGACACTGAGAAAATGTGAAAGACACATCACCCTCAGCTGCAGTAACAAAACCGCCATGGAATAGTTTCTGTGATCCTCGGAAGTCACAGCGATTACCCTGGGGCCACACACACGAGGGTGAATGAGAGGCTCCTACGTCTGGATGGCCACCCTGCGGATTCTGCATGCGGTAGAGGTGGGACCAGGCTCTGAGGCTTGCTAGCTATGCTTCTGAGGCCACAGTTCACAAATCACAATTTAACAGCACACGGAGCCTTCCTCAGCCCTACCACGTACCCACATTTCTGTGAAAGAAGCAGAGAAGGAACTTAAAACCACAGAGACCCTTCACGGAATTCACGAACAAATCTGTCCACTTACTATGTTTTGGGGATCAGTTATTACCCCTGTAGAAATACGTGAGAGTCTGGCTTTCTAACATGAAATACAACGGTTGTAAGCTTCCTTCATTTGTGCAAGTAACCAAGAAGGGTTTATTGAGCACTTACTGTGTATCACTTACCTTAGCAACTGGCGACCTGCAGTTAAAAAGACCTCTTGCCCAAGCAGGAAATTTGCTTTCAGAATACTATTGTAACATCAAAACAGGCATCTGTATTGTTTTCCTATTTTACATTTATTCACATATCATGGATTACCTATAACCCAAGATTTTTAAACATTTCAAACTCTTAAAAGTCACTTTCTCCTCTAAGTTTCCTTGTCAAAGATCCTCTTCTGGTTGTCATTTTTTGAGTAGGAGCTTTCCTACAGGTCCCGCAGAAATCAGAGTCCTTAAGGCAGGCTTCACTGTCTTTCATTGCTGAGGATTTGATTTTCCAAAAAGCAAATAAAGAACAGAAGTGGGTGAGATTGTCAGGGCCAGAATCATCCTCCCGGACCAAACTCAAATGAATTTTCCACCAAGGAAATTATTCATTGGAAAAGATGTGCTTTGCGGTACTCTGCTGACCAAATTGATCAGAGCAGCTCCTCAGCGAAGCGGGGAATAAAGGCAGGAGTTAAGTCAGAAATAAACCTACCCAGGGCTTGCACAGTATTTCTATTTCGAATTGACCATACGTCAAGTGGAGTCAGTCATCCCATGCGGGTGGGCTCCGACATCTTTCAGATAAGGGAAATTTGCAGACACGCTGAGGCTTATCTCTCTCTTTTCCATTTTAACCAATTTCGAAAAAGGTCATTCTAAAAATCCATTTCAGAAAAAAAAAGGAAGGGAAAAGAAAAAATATCTAAATTTGTATAAACACACTTAGGATAGCTAAGATGGTTGTGCTACAAATTCTATAAGGTCTTGGAACAAAACAGTCAACATTCACAGCATTGGAACAATTGTGCATGTTTGTGTCTGGTGATTGAAGAACTCCTGAAGATCACTATGTAAAATAGCAACCTTAGTTATGTGCCTACCAGCTTGTTTTGAAGGCCTATATTGTCATTGTTTTGGGCTCTTTCCTATTGTTATATGTCTTTTTGGTTTCTTGTTTTTCTGGTAATTTGTTTTGTTTTGTTTTGTTTTTCCCCCTAATGCAGAAAGGATAGGTGTACATATAGAGGCTTTACATACCTAGACCTTCTCCTGAACAGTTTATGAGAATAGATTGTGCTATGCATGATGAAATGAATAGCTGCTTTAAAGAAAAAGAGACATTGGGGCTGGGGATTTAGCTCAGCGGCATAAGCGCCTGCCTTGCAAGCAGGCAGTTGTGAGTTCGATCCCCGGTACCGATAAAAACGAAAAAGACAAAAAAAAAAGAGACATGATGGTCTCCATTGCTGATTCCCTGTCATCACGCTAAAATCCAGTAATGCTTTTATTCTATGTTCAGAGTGGTTTTAGTCTGTTTTGTATTGTGTCATTTCAACATACATGAAGGTACGGACAGCTATTTTGAAGACAATGAGAGACACTACAGCAGCCATTGTTATTTTCCTATTGTCTGGTTTTGAAGGCCTTTAATACCTTCATTACCCTGTTCTGATCAGTTTTACACTATTTTGTTTTGTATGAATTCATTACGTGTGAAGATACAGACAACTATTTAGAAGAAAACAGATACATTGTGGTAGCCACTGTAGATCTCCAGTTGTCTTGCTTTGAAATCTGTGTCACTTACATTGTTTTGTTCTGAGCTGCTTTGTTCTGTTTTAAGTTTTATTTTCTCTCTTTAAAAGGGGGCTGGAGGATTGGGGGACTGGGGGCTGGGGGGCTCCATGTTATCCTTTTTGGCCTTTTCTTTCTTTTCTGCAAATGTCTAAATGCAGAAGCGTCTCCCACTCAGTCAGTGATGGGAAGACCTGCCACCCTTCTGTAATGGAAGACTCGGCATTAGCATCTTAGTTGCATCGAAACTAACAGATATGTCAGCCAGAGAATGCGAAGCTGTGGATCCCCAGCCTGCCCAGCCCGGGCTCCCCTGTGATGCAGGGTGCAGGAGTGTTTGATTTCTCAGCGAGGCCCAGGAAGCCCAGGCGTCTACTGTTTGACAGGGTTAGAGTCCACATAAGAATACATGTAGGTCTGAGTGTGTTTGGGGGGAGATGGAGACGTTATTATTGCTGATTATTTTTGTTTTACTTTTCACTATAGAGAAACCACCACAATATGCCTGGTTTCCTACCACAAAAGGCTCAGACCAAGGACCTTGTCTATAACGTGCAACTCTGCCTAGTTCCCCAATAATACAGAAAGCAAGCGTGCCAAGGGTTCATCTCCTCGGGTCGGTCCTCCCTAGCCATCTTACAGGTAACAATTTGGCGGTCGGGTTTTCACCCAGAGACCTGAAAATTCCCAGGTAGAGGAGAAAAAAAGATAAAGGCCAGTGTGGAAGGCGAGGAGGAGCCTGCTATAAACCTGAGAGCAACAGATGAGGCGAGGAGGACATGGCGATCAGGATAGGGCTTTGGTGTCACTGGGTAAGGTGAGGAGCTGTGGACAGCGGGCTGAGTGAGGGGCCCTGTCCCGGGAATCCACTTGTGAAAGGGAGGCAGAGGTGAGTTAGCAGAGGGCTGGAGGCTTGGGGTTTGCAGCTGCTTCTTGCTGAGGATGCAGCGCTCACAGATGTGAGCTCGGGCATTACAGGTGCACGGCAGGTGCTAAGAGCTCCCCGCTGGAAAACCTGGATGTCAGCGGTATCAGAGGCTTCATTTAAAGGTGGAAGAAGTGAGGGACCTACAGTTCACTCTTCCCCTAAGGGTTCCTTGATGTTTGTTTGTTCTCCAGAAGGGCCACTGAGCACCTTCAGTTCAGATGCTTGACAGGTCCTTAGGTAAGGGGACTCGCATTCCCCAGACCTATAGCACTTACATTGGGAGATTCAAGTTACAGAGACCTTTCCACGTTACACAGCTTTGCCAGGAGAGGCTGTTTACCCCTCCTGATGGCATCAAGGGTTAGGACACCTAGGTCACTTTGGTACCCTGCACCAGTCATGGGCACACATTTGCAGCACACATGTGGCCTCACAGAGGACCTGAAAGTGGTCACAGATGACAGAAAAACTCGAGGCATGGAACATCCAGCCTGACTGTGTGACAAGGAGCCTTGTCCAGAGATCCCATGCAGGCAGAGTCCGACGAGAGACAGTGAGAAGGTGTGCTGCTGGCTCTGGGCTGCAAGGGCTTCATGGAGAGCAGGAGAGAGCAACCACGGGCCACAGGCGGTGGCATCATAGCTGCCTGGCCCACAGCAGAAGCTTTCCTGGGAAGGATCGATCCACACGCTGGAGAGGATGCCTCTGAAGGGAGACATGGAGACTCTGAGACACCAGCGGAAAGGAGAATGAGAGAACAGAAATGAAAACAGAACGGAGGGGTGACACATTTCTACTGACATTCAGCACACTTCAGATGGCATCTTGAGCTATCGCCAGACCAAGGATCGTAGACCTCTGGCCAGCTGAAGCCTTGGCTTTGGCGTCCTGCCCTTGTAATTTCCTACCGTAGCTCAGTGCTAAGTGTTACTATGCAACGAGAACTAAAAGGTCAGGGGAGGGCGGAGCTCTGCCGTGTTCCAGTAAAGGGAAAAAATGGACCATCGTAATGCAAGCTGATCTTCGGGAACCCACGTTATAAAGGGCAGCAGGGAGGGACCAGGTGCCCTTTCACACATGCAGGTGTGCTAGGAGACAAGCGGGAGCTAACGTCTCTGTCCAGATGTTTGGCTTTCAGAGAATCATGGGCACATTCACCAGTAGATCGTTGTAAATGTAGTGAACATGATATATTACTCCTCTTTCCTCCCTAAAACACGTTGTTTCATACCGACCCTTGGTGTGTGCCTTGTGCTCCCTGTCACCTGGTCACGTGCCTGGGTTTCACAGGCACCATCCTGAGTTATCATTGAAGCTCGGCATCCTGGGGGATCCCATCTTGGAGG